AAAAAGCTTGAAAACTATGAGTGTAATAGAAGTCATGTAATTTTATTATATTGGGGCTTTGATTTTAGGGTGGTAATCAGCATGTTATCAAATAACATTTTACAATCAGTGGAAAGTAAACTTTTATTCTCATTACCCTCCCCAGGTATGTGTAATCCTCGAAATTATAGTGACACACCTCCAACTTCAAAGAGTACCGTGGAGGAGCTGCATGAAGCGATCCCTTCTCTCTTCCGGGCACTCACAGAAGGGGACACTCAGTTAAATTGGAACATCGTTTCCTTCCCTGTTGCAGAAGAACTTTCACATCATGAAAACTTGGTTTCATTTTTAGAAACTGTGAACCAGCCACACCACCAGAATGTGTCAGTCCCCAGCAATAATGTTCACACGCCGTATTCCAGTGACAAAGGTAATAACCAGTGATTGTTTCTCGCTCTCTTTTCTGCTCATCCTCAGTGGTCCATGAGCCTGCATTTAGGTTATCTTTAGGAGAGGTTTTTTTGGTGTGTGTTTTTTTAAGGGGGTTGGAGGAGGCTAATTCATTTTTTTTTTTAAAACCAATGATCCCAGAGATAGAAGCTCTGGGGAAGGAAGAAGAGGGGACGTGAGGCCCCAGCCCTACAACCCCTCCCCACTTCTCCCTTCCCCCCTTATATGACGGGGGTACCAAAAGAACCCAAATTCACCCACCCCAACTATGTATTTAAATTTTTTCACCAAACAACCTTACTGCCTTCAAAGTACTCTCCATTACACTTAATACATTGGTCAAATCTGAGATTCCATTCTTGGAAACATTTTTCAAACTTATCCATTTGGATGGATGACAGCTCCTCCCTCATTTTTTTCTTTACCTCTTTTAAATCATCAAATCACTGTGCTCTCATGGTCCTCTGCATTCATGGAAACAAAAAGATGTCTCACGGAGCAAGGTCAGGTGAGTAAAGTGCGTGGGGCAAGAGAGGCATGCTGTTTCTTGCCCCAAATTGGAGTGCTAAGATGGCTACGTGAGCAGGTATATTGTTGTGGTGGCAAAACCAGTCCCCCATCTGCCACAAATCAAGCCTTTTTTGTTACACATTGTTAAGCAGTCTTTACAGAACTTCTAAATAGAAAGCTTGATTAACAGTGTGACCTGGTAGAACAAGCTCCAAATGCACTATCACCCTCACATAAAAAAATCAAATGAGCATCAGTTTGGGGCGGGGGGTGTCCCTTTATATGTTTATAATCTGTATATACACCCTGGAAGTTGAGAGACAAGCAGAATGTGCCCTCTGGTGCTGCTTTTGCTTTTTCATTTGTATCGACTTAAGTTCTGGATTTCAATAATACTGATCTATGTGGAAATAAGAAGGCATGTCTAGCATATTGTGGTAATGACTGTTGGAAAATAGGTACCACCTTTTTAATTCTTAAATTCTAATTTAATTTCCAAGAGGTTTTCATTTTCTTTTGATAGGATGGTTAATAGTATTGCATACCATACTACACAGTATCGCATATCATTTGACATTGTCCAGAATGGTTTTGTGAAATTGGGTTTTTATAATAGTATTTAGTGTTGCTGTCGCAAATGATGCCATGGTCACCAGTTTTCTCTATAAGAAAATTAATATACAGGCTAATTAGTATAAAAGTATAGATTAATTCCAGCCATTTCTTTGCAAATGGGTGGTGTTGTTTGGAGGAAACTAAATGAGAGAAGAAGTTGCACAAATTTGAGGAGTATATTAAAAACATTTATTATAGAGGATAACTCATAGTTGATTTTATCAGATAAGGAATATATAACTTTTCTTTCCATTTTTGAACATTTTACTGTGTTTTACATGAAATTGACACAGCAAATTAGTTTCCTATTTGACAATTCATACACAAATTTATCCATAACATGCAGTGCTATCCCCATAATATATCAGTGCTCTTTCTATATCCACCTTGCTTTCCCTGATTTCCCTTCCCCTCCTTGCCTTCTTATCTTTAGCATTGTATGAATATTGACTATTGGATCTCTTGTAGTCAGCTGTTCTAAGGACACATTTGTTATGGATGTTTTAGTGTTTGCCCTTTTTTTTTTTAATAAGTCATTTGATTAAGTGTAGTGTTGCACAACCAATTACTGTCATTGATGTCAATAAGTTGCATATTTGTGAAAAAACTGAATTGGCAAAAATTGTGTGATATACATACAGTGACCAAAAAAAAAAAAAAAAAGACTTGTTAAGGATTGACTCTGTACAAACAAACACTTCCTGTGACCTGTTTTCTTAGTTTGAAGGGTTACGGTCACAATTTCATGAGACAATCCAGTTAATTGACTTAATCACATTTTTGGTGTTCCTGTTCTTCCTCCTACTTTCTTGCATGAGGTTTTAAAAGCGTGCAAGCAGTCATCACGGTACCAGGATCTATTTCCAGGAACAACAGAGCAGAGAACGTCAGTAATAAGAGGAGGACATGACATCTGGCTCACTGCTTCCATAGACGGGTTCCTTTGCCCTGAGACCACAAGTAAACTGCCAGCTACCATTATTGGCAGAAAATCCCTGATCAGCCGGGGGGAAGATAGGGAACAAATTTCAATGTTTCTGAAATCATGGAGGGTGGGTGAACCCCAGAAACTTGTTCAGATATGATCTTTAGACCTTAAACCAAAATAAGCTCAGAAGGAAGTCTTCTTAAAACTGACCACCAGTTTACCTTAACTAGTAAAAAGAATGGACACCCGTAAGTTGAAAGATTAGGTAGGAACCTACAGGGAATGTCAACGAGGGAAGTTCAATTCAGGAGGAGGATGAATTTGGTTGGACTACTTAAACAATTGTACGTATAGAAACTGTTATTTATGTTTTGTTGTGTATGTTCTCAACAACAAAATATGTAAAATTTAAAGAAAAATCATATCGAATTCTGGATACTTTTCTGGTGATAAGGCTTTGAAGTCACAACTTCCCAACATACCCAAAGTCCTTTTGCATATCCAACTATCAGACTACATTTAGGCCTAAATTCCTTCACTTCCTATAAAGTCATCAGGGGTCTCAAACTAATTTAATTTCCAGTAGGTTTTCATTTCATTTTCTCTACCCCTCAAGCCTTTTACCCATGACTAAGCCCTCAGCCACTAACTACGACTACTACTACTACTACTACTCTATCTACTACTACTCTTGTCATGTGCAGTCATTATGAGTTGGAATCTATTTCCCAACACCTAACAGCAAAAGCCCCACAGTAGCCATTTAACCGTATCTTCTAAACTCTAAAAGGCCTCCATGCTTCTGAATTTCCTGTTCATTTCACCATCATGGAAATTCCCACTATTCTTCAGGATATAGCTAAAGTAGCTCATCTATAGACTGCTGTGGATTATCTACTTCCTCCTACCAGCTTTTGCATCTTTTGTTGTCCATTTTCAATTGATAGACCTAGTATTATTTACTTAGTTTCTTAGATTCTCTTAGTCCTCTTTGAGTTGTAATGGCCACTTCATAGTATGTGTTTAATTAGTACTAGTTTAATTTTGTGAATACCCATCACTCAGAGCCTCAAATGTCCCCACACTCTAGCCTCTAACACCTCTGCCTCCTGTCCATGCCATCACTCCACCTACTTAGCGCCAGCCACTTCCAATTTGTTTATCAGGTGCTGTGTTGCTCTCCCAATTTCCCTCTTTAATCGGGCCGCGTTGGATATTCCCAGTAGTGTTTCTGCCATTGATTCCACGCTATCCCCTGTGCACACTGCAACGCTCCACCCACTTCCTTGTGACTTTCATTATTTTGTTGCTTGTAGCTTTGATTTTGATTTTTACTAATTCAAATGTAGCCTTCTCCATCCAGCCTTCTCTTACTGGGCAAACTGTTGATTTATCAGTTCTGTACATGGATCTTTAAGAAAATGTAGTCTTTGATCAGACACTATCACTGATTTGTGTTGTGCTTCATTTGTTTTAGGAGCCCTGCTGTTACAGTGCTTACAGTAGCTTGGCCACTAACTGAAAAGTCAGCCGTTCCAACCCACCAGCCACTTTATAGGAAAACAATGTGGCAGTCTGGTTCTGTAAAGACTCTCCATGGGAAGTTCTACTCTGTTCACCAGGGTGGTTATATGTTTAATCATTGATTCAGTGGCAGAGTTTACGGAGATATATAACATAGCAAATGTCCTTCTTAAGCCCAGTGACCTAACCTTCAAGACTTTGAAGTATAATAAAACTGACTTGGGAAGCCCTTTGCATTCTTCAGTTACAGTGCTAGAAACGCCTGTATAAGCCGACTACCGTCGAGTGTGTTCTGTGCCCGCTGTTGTTCTTGTTAGGACTCATAGTTACCCCTGTACAACAGAATGAGACACTGCCTCATGCTGTGCCATCCTCACAATTGTTCTTGTGTTTTAGTCCATTGTTTTCACCTCGGTGGCAATCCATCTCATCCAGGGCCTTCCTCTCTCTCCCTGCCCCATCTCCCTTGTACTAAGAATGATGTCCTTCTCCACAGACTGTTCTCCTCTGACAACATGTCCAAAGTACATGAGATGAAGTGTCACCTTCTCTGCTTCTCAGGAGCATCCTGGCTGTACTTCTTCCGAGACAGATCTGTTTGCTCTTTGGTAGTCCATGGTACTGTCAGTAGACTTTGCCCACATCAGAGTTCAAATACATCAGTTTTTCTTTGATCCTCCTTATTTGATATCCAACTTTGGCATGCATCTGAGCCTATTGAAAATACCATGGCTTGGGTAACATCCTTGCTTTACAACGCTTTGATGAGTTCTTGTGCAGCAAATTGACCCACAACGATGCCTCCTTTGATCTCTTGACTGCTACTTCCATGAGCATTGATTGTGGATCCAAGGAAGACAAAAATCCTTGACATCAAACTTTTCTCTTTTTATCGTGATGTTACTTATTAATCCAGTTGTGAGGATTTTGTTCTTTATATCCATACTGCAGGGTGCAATCCTTGATTTTCATCAGCACGTGCTTCAGATCCCTCTCACTTTCAGCAAGCATATTGTGTCATCTGCATATTGCAAGTTGTTAATAAGCCTTCTTCCAATACTGATACTGCGTTTTTCTTCATAATCTAGTGTCTTTGGTGATTTGCTCAGCATACAGATTGAATAAGTATAATGAGAGGATACAACCCTATCACATACCTTTCCTAATTATAAGCCATGCAGTATACCCTTGTTCTATACCCACAACTATCTCTTGACCCATATACAAGTCCCACAGCAGCACAATAAAGTATTCTGGAATTCCTGTTCTTCTCAATACTGTACATAGTTTTTATTGTCCACACAGTTGTCTAACTGTGTCAGTGCAACACAAATAAACATCTTTCTGATATTTTCTGCTTTCAGACAAGGTCCATGTGATGTTAGTAATGATAGACCCTGTCCAACATCCTCTTTTGATCCATCCTGAATTTCTGGAAGCTCCGTCAGTGTACTGAAACTCTTGTTGGATGATCTTCAGCAAAATCTTAACTTGCATGTGATATCAATGCTACGGTTCTATAATTTGAGTATTCTATTGGGTCACCTTTCTTTGGATGGGTGCACATACAGATTTTGTCTGGTCGGTTGGCCAAGTAGTTGCCTGTCTTAGATGAATGAATGCTTCTGGTCTTCATCAGCCTGTTGAAACACTCAATTAACATTCCGTCAGTTCCTGCAGACTTGTTTTTGGCTAATACTTTCAATGCATCTTGGACCGCTACCTTAGTACCATGGGTTCTTACTTATGTGCTATCTCTAGACATCATTGAATGTTGAGTCGTTCTTTTTTGTACAATGATTCTGTGTCTTCTTTCCAACTTCCTTTGGTGTCTCCTGTATTGTTCAATATTTTGCCAATAGAATCTTTCAATATGGCAACTTGAGGTTTAAGTTTTTCTTGGTTTTTTTTCTGTTTAAGATATGCTGAGCATATTCTTTTTTATTTTTCTTACTCGGGGGCTGTGCACATTTCATTATAATATTTGGCTCTGTCTTCTCCACCTGCCTTTTGAAGTTTTCTGTTCAACTCTTTGGTGTCATTTCTTCCATTTGCCGTAGCTACTCTGCAGTTTACAAGAAGTCTTAGAGTTGCTTCTGATATCCACGTTGATCTTTTCTTTCCTGACTTGAATGACCTCTTGTTTTCTTCATGTCTGATGTTATTGATGTCGTCCACAGCTCATCTGTCATTCGTGTTTAATACATCAGATCTATGCTTGAGATGGTCTCAATTCAATTGGGATATCCTCAAGGTTACATGTTGGTCTCATGCACTTGTTTTAATTTTCTTCAGCTTCAAGTGGAACTTATATATGAGCAATTCATGGTCTGTTCCACAATCGGTCCCTAGCCTCCTTTTAGCTGCTGATATTGAACTTCTCCATCATCTTTTCCCACAAACGTAGTCCATTTTATTTCTGTGTATTCCACCTAGAGAAGTCCGTATGAACAGTTGCCTTTATGTTGTTGGGAAAAAGATATTTGAGATGAAGAAGCCCTCAACCTTGCAGAATTCTGTCATGTGAGTCTCCAACTCTATTCCTGTCACCCAGGCCTCGTTGTTTCCAGCTTTTGCACTCCACTCACCAATATTTACCAACACATCTTGATCGCATGCTTGGTCAATTTCCAACTGAAGTCGTTGGTAGAACCCTTCAGTTTCTGCATCACTAGCTTTAGTGGTTGGTACATACATTCGAATCATCGTTGTATTTGATTGGATCTCCTTGTTAGCAGGTAGACCTTATCCTATCACAGATGCACTGTACTTCAAGATAGATCTTGAAATGTCCATTTTGATGTTTAATGCTACACCATTCCTCCTGATTATGTCCTATCTGGTATAGTAAACCAAAGATTTCTGATTCAAAATAACCAAAGCTAGTCCATTCCTATTCATAATGACCCTTTATAGTGTTTCTAAACCTGTAAATCTCTACAGGAGCAGCCAGCCTCATCTTTCTCCTGTGGAGCGGATAGTGAGTTTAAACCACCAACCTTACAGTTACCTGCTCAATGTTTCATTGATTGTCCTGTGTCAACCTGCAATAATAGAATTAAGATAAACAATCATTAATAATTCAACTTGGTATTGAACTATTTACTGTTTTCCTCTTTCTTGCACCTAAGTTTTTTTAATTTTTCAGAACACATGTGCACTGTGGTCTACTTTGATGACTGCATGTCTATACATCAGTGCAAGATATCCTGTGAGTCCATGGGGGCATCCAAATACCGCTGGTTTCACAATGCCTGCTGTGAATGCATCGGGCCTGAGTGCATCGACTATGGCAGTAAGACTGTGAAGTGCATGAACTGCATGTTTTAAAGAAAGGAAATACTGAGCTAAGCAATTTTGTCAAAAAGAAAGATGTGAAAAGTATTCAGTAAGATGAAGACACTAAAAAATTAAAATGTGTTACTTTAAATATATAACTCTAGTAATTTGATAAATTATATGATTATAGTTGCTCTTATTGACCTTTTTACTCTAGCAATAAAGCCTTTCCTTGGATCCTTTGAATCTTTGTACAACTTTGGTTATTTAAGGTACAAGCATATAGATAATTCCTTGAAAGATAGGGGGCATTACACATACAGACTGAATGCTATTTTCTGTAGCATTCCAAAGCATATTGTTTTGAAGGTTATGAAAGAAGCATGTCCAAGTAAGTTAACGCTTGTTCAGGATACATGGGGGTACCCAAAAAAACCTGAATTTTTTTTTCTCACAGCGATGTATTTAAATTTTTTTACAAAACAACCTTATCATCTTCAGAGTACTCTCCATTATACTTAATACATTTGTCAAATTTGCAGTTCAATCTTGGAAACATGTTTCAAACTCATCCGTTTTTGGATGGCTGATAGCACCTCCCTCGTTTTTTCTTCATCATCAAATTGCTGTGCTTTATGCCTCTCTGCATTCCCGGAAACAGGAAGAAGTCACATGGAGTCAAGTCAGGTGAGTAAGGTGTGTGGGGCAACAGAGGCATGCTTTTTTTTTTTTTTTTTTTGCCAAAAGCTGGCGCACAGAGATGGTTGTGTAAGCAGGTGCATTGTTGTGGAGGCAAAACCAGTCCCCATCTCCACAAATCTGGCCTACTTTTTCCGCACACTGTCACACAATCTTTCAGAACCTCTGCATAGAAAGCTTGTTTGACAACAGTCTGACCTGGTGGGACAAACTCCAAATGCACTACAAGTCGACATTTTCATCTGTTCAGGAAATTGACAAAAGTTTAGAATGAGGCTTGTCATCGATTGACATTTCACCCTTTTGAATGAGAAAACTACTCGTGCACTTGAGTTTTCCCTATAGCACTGTCCTTGTAAGCTGTGTGCAACCCCACAACAGTTTCTGAGGCATTTTTCCACAAGCAGGAAACAAATTTCACAGCCTCACACTGTTCTCTGCAATCAGCCATCACAAAAAGTGAGGTTGGAGCAAAACTGCTTCTACGAAAAAATTCACTTTGACCAGAGAGAAACCCTCCCAGGTGACGCCACTGGGTGCACTATCTCAGAGCAAGTTCCTTGATGATTGCCCAGTGGGCAAAATGCATACTATGAAAGTCCCATCCAGCGGAGCTTTTTTTGGAGGAGGGGTTTTTGGGGGTACCCCCTCATATTCTTAAGACACTGAGTTTTTATAGATGAATGCTATTATTCAGTTCCTTTCACTGTTTACCAGTTTTATGAATTCCTCAAATAGGTCACTCAAAAATGTTATATAAAAATCACATACGAAGTATAGTTTCCAATTATGCTTGGTTTTAGTGGTCTTGGTTTTAGAAAGGAAATGCTTACTATACAAGAATAAGTGAAAAAATATTGCTACTACAACTTCAGTTCACATTCCAACCAAAACATCTTTAAACACATATTTGCAGCTATAGACAAGTTCTCTGAGTAATACACTTGTCTTGGTCTCATTAAGGTGCCTTAAAAAAGAAAGAAAAGAATATCTAATCAAAACAGTGGCATCAGAGCATATATGCTGTTGCAAATTTAAGGCAGCTCAGAAAGTTATGGAAACTGTTTTTTGGGACACCATATGAGTAATCTTAATAGATTTTTCTCAGAGGATACAGGATGATCGTGTGAATTTATTAGGAAGAATGGAAGACTGGATTGGTGAGAAAAACTCAGGAAAGTTGTTCCAAGGAATTTTTTTCTATTTTTTTCTGCTCTTTCTTCAAGGGTTGCAAGGGCTACCCTAAGCAAATTTTGTTGGGAAATCCCATCTACTCTACAATCTTGATCTTGTCTTTCCAGAGATAGATAGATATGTATCCCAAACTCAAAGAACATTTCAAAGGAATGCAATATGAGTCCCTTGCTGATGCCCACACTGCCATTTTGATTAGAGAGATGGAAAATACCCATTTTCGGGTGAATATGGATCCAGTTGGAGGATATGTTGAAAAACAGTAGCTTCACATTTTGATGTTTAACCAAGATTTATATTATTGTGTAGCAATGTTTTTTTTAACTTACCCTTGTATTTTGCAGTTTAAAACTATTAGATTGTAGATTTTGTCCTGAAATGTACATGCTGACAAAGTTTTAGGAAAATGTTCTCATTCTCTTCCGTTCTCCTTGCCCAAAGTGCTTATGTGGACCATGAGGAAGTATCTTAGTAAGAATATCATGAATACTATGAAAATGCATGAAATGTACACGGCTAAGGGAAATAATTAGAATGCTGAAGTATTTCTTGTATACCGGCTTAAAGAGCATTAGGGATGAGTCATAACTGACAAATCCAACTATAATTAGAGCAACAAGGACCAGTTCATCCCTCTGATACTGTGCTGCCAAGCAAGGATAGGTCTACCTATGAACAAGCAAGCAAGATTGGAAAACTAGGAATTAAAACAAACAGAATGATTGACATTAATTTTTATTGCATAATATTTCATGTTATGCTTATATCTGAATCTGATATTCTTTTTTATCAAGTATAATTATATAATGGGATGTTAAAATTATGAAATGTTAAAAAAAATCTGCTTAAAATGACAATTGTCTCCTAATGCACTGAAGAGTATTTTGTCAGCTTTTTATATCATTTCAATAAAGATAAACTTAAACACTATGTGCCTTTTCTAGTAACAAAATTTCAGACATTAATCTAAAGCATAAATAATTATTTTACAGAGACTCTTTATAAAATTACTGATTCATCTAGTATATATTTGAATTACAAGTAAGTTTTTAGGAACACCTTTTATGTAAACAGTAGAGGGTTCATTTGTAATTTTATGATTAGTATAATATTTAAAGCCTTGATACCATTTCTGCTCTTTCAGACAGCTGTAATGAATACAAGTAAGGGAGGGTAGCCTTCAGTTTTTACAATTCAAATCATGAGTGTATTTTTTAATAGAAAAAGATTTAGATATTCTTTTCTTCCTTGAAAACAACTATGCTCCCTTTTTAAATTAATAAGTATAAAACTGAGGGTTTACTTAAAAAAGAGAAACTTTAAAAAAGAATTGAGAGTCAGCTGCTTCATTTCAACCTGTCATTTTTCAAAGTAATTTCATACCTGTAAATTGAATGATGTTTTGTGATTGTTGGCGACATGTTTCATGTTGCTTTAAATATGTCAAGTAGATTTTTAACTAGCATTTAGCATTTTTTCATATCTTTATTATTAAAATGTTGAGTGTAATATTTCTGTTCCCCCCTCCCCCAGAGGATGATTTCTTGAATTGTTATATTTTAATTGATTTTTCTTACCTGTATCTCTCCCATTATCCCTAAATGTAAATGGATTTCCATATTTAAAGTTTGCTTAGTTTTTGTGTTTTACAAAGGATTTGAAAGACTGGAAAAATCCAGTACTAATTCTATAATGTGTTTTAGATTAATTTAGAAGTTTATCACTAGAGAAACCTATAGAAACCTGTACACTCAGCAAAATGTAGACCTCTGGTAACATCCCAAGCATAATTCATTTTTGTATTGATGCTTTGGTTTAAAAAACTATTTTTATAACCAACCCTTGCTTCAAAAAAGAAAAAAAAGGAGGGGAAAAGAACTTACTAGCTTACAAACAAACCAGTGGCTGTTATAAAGACAGTATCACGAAAGTTCTTTCCTCTGATAAGTTGTGTACTTGCTGGTAGGTTTTCTTTGTCAGTCTCCCATAACATCTAATTATTACCGAAATTGCACTCATAATTGTGCTACCAAATCAAATGGTAATCTAAGTAAAGTCTAGTCTTAGTTTAACATACTGTAACAGATTGTAATTAGAAGGGATGTCTTCATTTAGAGATGTGACTTCTAAAGTTTCAGAAAACAAAATGGAGAAGAGAACCCAAAAGTTTCCTGGAAAATAAACCACATTTGACAAGTGTTTCATGTTTGTTTTTTAATAAAAGCCTCTTTGATTTCTAGTCTGTTCCGCATTCCCAAGAGTGTGTTTATTGTGTTTCCTATAACCTACCACATTTAAAAATCTGAGTTTTTCTTTGTTGTCCGTATAAACTATAATATTTTTATTAACATTGAAATGTGTATGTCCTATTTTTTTATGAAACAGATCACACTATAGATTTTATTCAACCACTTGCTTTTTACGAATGATTATATATTGTGTGCATCATTCTGAGAGGGGACATACCTTATTCTTTTGAATGGCTACAAAGTAAGCATTCTGTCCCACTGACTGGATGCACCATTATGTAATCTTCTCTACAGATAAAGGTGAGCTCTTCCAGTGGCATGTTAATATTCAAGGGGCTTTACAAAGCCCATGCAAAACTAGAATGGAAAGATAATGGATAACTTGGCACACCCACTCCTTAGACCGCTACAACCGTTCTCAACCTGCTTTGGGGGTCGAACGACCCTTTCACAGGGGTCGCCAGATTCATTAACAGTGGCAAAATTTCAGTTATGAAGTAGCAACAAAAATAATTTTATGGTTGAGGGGGTCACCATCACATGAACTGTATTAAAGGGCCCTGGCATTAGGAAGGTTGAGAACCACTGCTCTACAACAGAGAGCAGATGACGCAGACGCACATGGAAATCTTAGAACTCTGAGCTTCAGTGGCAAGGATGGAGAAATGGATTGAATTTGAACTAGGAGAAGAAGCTGAGTGGAAGTGACAAGAGAAGAGACGGACGGGCAAATTGTTGGCCGGCCTGACACAGTGCAGCCATCTTGAACTTTTGCATGTAGTGGATTGAAACACTGGAGATGAGAAAGATGGGATCCTCCCTTGGTCTCCCACCCCGTGGGTGACCAGAGTGTAGTCAGCCTCACCTACTCGGCAGCTGGTGACACTGCTGACCACCCCACCCCAGGGCATGTAGCCCTTGGTCTGCCTGGGTCAGCCACACCCTCATGGATCCATCACCAGGTGCACCCCACACTATATCACCCCCATCTGGAGGCATGCGAACTCTGCCTCATCAAACCAATAGAGCACACTGGGCTAGATTTCTGACCACCTCTAGACATGCAAACACTCCATAACCACAGCTGCCATTGAGCCTAAAAAT